TTCATGCTGCCGTGGCAGCCAGGCAAGGCGCAGGCAGCCAGCATGACGCACAATCGCTTGATCACTTTGCATTCTCTCTCTCTCGCTCTCTCTCTCTCCCGCCCGCTTTTGTATCGGGGCGCCTGCCCCACCTCGCTTGAACACACCTGGCCTCTGCCTCTGACCTTAGTTTGTCCATTGTACTGCCACAGCATGCCACATCACAATGCAATGCAAAAAACAGCTTGGATCAGCTGCCAGGCTGCTGAGCCGACGCGGCTGCCGCCGCCGCTGCCACGGCTGCCGCCTGGCTGGCGGCATGGGCAGCGGCAACCTCTGCTGCCCTGGCTGCCAGGCGATGCGTGCCCAGCTGCACCACAGACTCCTGATACTCCTTGGTGCTGGCATGGAACAGCCGCAGCTGCGTCCCCTTGGTCACCCTCAGGGCTCGCCTCGGCCAGCACGCGGCGCAGGTTGGGGAAGCGGGCATGCACTTCGTCCGACTGCAGCGCATCCAGCAGCTGGTTGGCATCCATATCATTCAGGCTAATGCGGCAGCGCACCACGGCCTGCACAAGCTGGCTCATGACAGCTGTGTGGTGTGCCAAGCCTTCCTTACTCCTGCCGCCGCTGGCGGCGGGCTTGGCACGCACCGCCGTCTTGCCTGCTGCGCTGCGCTCTGCCTTTGTCGGCACCCTGTGGGGCTGGGGAACCGCTGCGGGACGCCATCTCGCCCCTTTTCGCGCCCTGCACCCCCCGCCAATGGCGGTCTGCCGACCCCCGCGCGGCAGCGGCGGGCTGTTAAAAAGGGGTAGATACGGCTATGGAGAGCCCATTTATCGAAAAACGAGCGAAACCGATGCAGGTTTGAGGGCGGGAGGGCCGCTGATGTGTCCCAGGCCGCCGCCGCCACAAGCGGCTTGCACCAGTCAGAAGCCAGTACGAAAGGCAGCACGCCCTCTGCATGGATGCTCCATGCCGACCCTCTCCTCTCCTTGCCCCCTCCTCATTCGACCAACAAACAGCAGCAGCAGCCATGGCGGCCCCTCCCCCCCGCCCCGAGCACTACTCTTACAACCGTGAGACCGCCGAGAGCTACTCCCGGAGCGTGGGAGGTGAGGCTGGGGCGTCTGGCTGGGCAGGGGCAGGCCTCAGCAGCGTGCCCTGTGCGTCCAAGGCTCTGTGGCAGCGGCGGCCGCGGCTGCTGCAGCCCAGGCAGCTCTCGAGTCGCGCCTGCACGCCATGGGCGGGCCTGCACCGCCCTGGCATCATTGGAAGCATCCAAGCAGCCTGCAGCCTGCAGCAGGGGGAGAGCCGCGGGCAAACTGGCGGTCGGCGGCAGGCGGCGGCGAGCTGCGGCGGCGACAGCCAGCCCCCCGCTGTGCTCCCCTCTCCGACCTTGCCTCTCCTGCTCACTGCGCCTGCTGCCCCTGCAGGATCCGGCAGCGCCGACGATGAGAAGAGCGCCTACGGCTTTGGCGCCACGGCGCTGGCGCACGCGGGTGAGGTGGCCGGGGCGGCTGCTGTGCGTGGCGCCGTGCCTCCCGCCCTCCCTGCACCCCTCCTCCACCCCCAAGCCAGGCTCAGCCGACTCGAAGCCACAGATGCATGGCCCCTGCTTTTGCATGCCCTGCCCTACTTACCGGTACGGTGCACCGCTGCGGTATACCGTTCACTGCCCGCACCCCGCCCCGCCTTCCCCTCCCTGCAGCCCTGGCCATCCCGCTGCTCTTCCAGCCCCGCGAGGCCGCCCGTTTCCTGCTGGGCGGCACCGCCCTGCCCACCAACGCCGAGCACGACCGCCTGATGGGCCTGCTGGCGGCGGGGCTGCTGTCGGGGGCCACCACCGCCTGGGCGCTCAAGGTGAGGCGCCAGGCGCTGGAGGAACGGAGCTGGTGGGCTCGGGCGCTGCGTGCTACCTTCAGGCTGCAGGCACACAGCGCTGGCTGCCTGGTGCATGCCCCGCACGTGCCTGCCTGCCAGCCTGCACGTGCCCAGCCCGCCCTCACCATCCCAACGTCCAGTGTCCACCCCCGTTCTTGCCCCGCACTGCCTCATTAATGCCGCCTGCAGGGCGCCGCCGACGAGCACCGCCTGGACAGCGAGGACAGCGAGCGCCTGCAGCTGGGCCTGATAGCGTGCGGGGCCGCGGGGCTGGGCGTGCTGGCGGCCCACAGTGAGCCCTGCCTGCTGAGGCTGGCCAGGCCTGCTGGCCTGCCTGCTCCCTGCCCTGCTGTCTGCTGGCATTGTTGGGGAGCGGAGCTGCATGGAGCGGCGAGGCGGCGCGGCCGCGCCTCCCCGCACGGCGTGCGGGCGGGGTGTGCCCGCTCGTCTCCCCGCCCGCGTCCTTGTGCGCCATTCAACAACACTCCCGGCCTCTGCTGCTTACGACCTTACCCCTCCCCTGGACCCCTTGCCTCCCCCACGCCTGCCCTCCACTCCAGGCGCCGACCTCACCAGCAACGGCTCCGCCGCGGGCGTGGCCGCCGCCGCGCTGACCATCGGCGTCCCGGCCGCGCGCCTGCTGGGCTCCGACCGCGCCCGCGGCCGCCTGGGCAACCGCGTCAAGGTGAGGGAGCGGCAGAGAGGGGGCACGCCAGAAGGGATGCGCATCCCAGGGACCATGCATGCCAGCACTGGTGCACATCCCCTTGGGAGGGGGTGGGCCGAATGCTTGCCCCTCGAAGCCGCCAGCGCAGGACAGGCGGCGCCGGCCACACCCTGCCCCAACGTCCCTTCCGTTTCCGCTCTGCCGCGTCCCCCGCGTGCCCGCCACCCTTGCCTGCTCCCCGCCGCAGGGCATGTTTGATGGCATTGGCCGCCTGTTCGACTTCCGAGGCGGCTTCAAGCTCTCCTCAGCTCTCTACGCTGGTGAGGCTCCGCCCTCAGCTGCGGCGACTGCTGCCAGGGCTGCGCAGAGGCGCCAGGCCCACATGCTGTACAGCAGCAACCATATGGTCATGCATGGCAGCTTGGATCAAGGCCAAGCGCAGCAGCAGCTGCCAGTGCGCGGCTTCGGTGTGCCCGCGACCCACCCTGCCAGTAACCTTTGCGCCGCGTCCCCGGCCACTGCCCGCCCTCCTGCTGCCGCAGTGCTGACCCCGGCTTTCTTCCTGGCTGGCGCCTCGTACCTCGTGGCTCCACAGGCAAGCAGGGGCCGCTTGCAAGCATTCCATGGTCTGCAGGCGCTGCTGCTGCCACGCATGCAGCGCTGCTCGCCGGCCTCCGCGTGCCGGCAGCCGGCTGGAGGGATCCCTGCTGCCACCTCAGGCTGCCGGCTCATCCTTTCTTTTCCCTACTTTCTTCCCTGCTTCCCTCCACGCAGAAGACCCTGCAACACCTGCTGGGCTATGTGCTCAAGGGCAACGACTCAAGTGAGCACCGGCACACCGCTGCCGCACTGGCGCCGCCGCCACCTCGCCCGGGCTGCCCCCCGCGGGCCGCCGCCTGCAGCTGCCTTCTTTGGCCGCCAACACACTGCTGCTGCTGCTGCTGCTGCTGCACCTCCCAGGAAGCTATTTTCCGTCCTCACCTCTCCTCCCCTGCAGTCTTCCTGTGGCGCCAGGCTGGCGGCGCCCTGCTCACCGTGCTGCCCGCTGTGACCTACACGCTCAAGGTGAATGGGGCGGCCTGGTGCCTAGCTGATGTTGGGCTGCCGGCCGCCGGCGCCGAACCCCCGTGCCACCGTCTCTGCTGCCATTCCTGCTGCCCTTTAAAAAAAAAAAAAAACGCGCTCCGACTGGTACCAGCCCTTCCTTCTCCTGCTTGCCGCTGAGATCGCCTCGCCGCCACGCCCAACCCGCTGCCCTCCCGCCCCCTGCCCGGCCTGCCCGGTGCAGGAGAAGGCGGACAAGCAGCAGCTGGGTGACCACACCGCCCGCACCCTCAATCTGGGCCTGCTGCTCACCTCCCTGGGCCACCTGGTGGCGCTGGGGCCCATGGCCAACGAAGGCACGGGTGGCAGGTGGGGTGGGGCGGCCCGCTGGGGGGTGCGTGGTGTGCTTCCAAGCTGGGCAAGCTGGGCAGCAGGGCGGACAGGCATTACGCACCTTCTTGCATACACGCAGATGAAAGCTCGCTGGGCCAGGCAGCGGGATGCATGGCATGCCTGGGCCGTGCCGGGCGCTCCCCAGCCAGCTGGCCCTTCCCAACGGTCTGCTGTACCGCGCTGTATCGCCTGCTGCCCGCAGGTACCTGCCCGCCCTGGTGGGCGCCTGGGCCACCGCCTTTGCCGCCTCCGCCGTCGGCCTCTCCTCCTCCGCCACCGACAAGAGGCTGTGAGGCGGGGCTGCGCCTTGAAGGGCGGCTGGTTGCAGGACGGGGCCAGGCTGGTCAGAAGACTGCATGGCTGGGCTATGCAGCACGCAGAGGCGCCGGGTGAACAGGATGGGAAACTGTGGTTAGCGAGGCATGCGCCGTGCGCTGGGGAGGTTTGAGCTTCGCTGGTTGTGCATTGGGGGTAAAGGGTTGTGCTTTGCGTTACATTCGCCTGTTGAAAGGGAAACACACAGCTCTCGAGCAACGAAGCGCTGGCAGTGGGTGGGAGGAGAGCAGTTTGAATGATTCACAGGATGCCTGTGGGAACATCTCTGGTTCATGACTGCCAAACAGCGACAGCTAGCAGCAGCTGCCAGCGGGCTGCTGCTGTGTGCAGGCACTGCCACTGCCAGCTGGAAAGGCTCCAAAGTGCGTGCTGCGATCCCCAGCCACTTCGAAATGTTTGCCCAGCCAGCTGTCGCCCAGCATCGCGGCAGTGTTGCCGCACACAGCCACCCACTTGTGGGTGGGGAAGGTGTGCTGGCTGTCCAGGCTGTAGGCATGTGGGCTGCCGGGGATGGTGCCCTGCAGCAGCGCAGGCAGCAGCACGACTGGCTGGGCCTGGCCGGCCTGAGACAGCAGGGTGGTGGCGACGCTTCCCCGCTCAAGCGCTCTCCTGGCCGCAGGCATGCCACCAGGCGAGGGGCAGGTGCAACGTCGGGCATCTCAGCGCACGGCCAGCTGCCGCCACAACCGCTGCCATCACCGGCAGCAGCCGCCGGCAGCAGCAGCTCACCAGGTAGCGAGCCGCCTGGCCGTAGTCCTCGCTGCCCGCCTCCAATGTGCCCGGCAGCTTGAAGAGGCGGTAGGTGATGGACAGGTAAGAGGCGGGGCCCACCAGCGCCCGCAGCTCGGGGTCATGCACCTGCGCGCCAAAGAAGGAAGAAAGAAAGAAGGAAGAAGGTGAGGCACATGCCAGATGCGAGGCAGGCCCGTGGGCAGGTCCCCCTCCCTGCCAAACCACTGCCTCATGACATCCGCCGCGCATGCTGCTGCTGGAGGTAGTGGCTAGCAGTAGCGGCAGGCCTGCGGCAGCCGCGTGATCCGCAGCGAAGGTGCCAGGGCTGGCAAGCGTCGCTGCTTTCATGGCGGGCGCCCAGCCGCTCTCAACCGTTCAGCACCGGCGGGAGTTGAGCAGGCGCATGCGGGCTCGAGCCCCCTGCCCCAGCATGCGCAGCGCCCACCTGGATGGGATGGGAGGCGAGCTGGCGGGGGTCCAGGAAGCCGACCTGGCGGCAGATGCGCAGAAAGTCTTGGGTGTACAACGAGCCCGCCAGCCCCTCGTCCCACAGCACCTCGTTTGTGCGCAGCTGCGCAGGCAGGGGGAGGCCCAGGCGGTGTGGGGCCAGGGCGCGGCGGCGGCAAGGGCCATGAGGGCTGCCCGCCCAGCCGTGCCCCCAGACCGGGAGCAGCGGAGAGCTGCCGACATCCGGCTCCGATGCGGCCGGCGCGGTGACGCTGGCACTGATTTCGCTGAAGCCTCTGCTGGCATGCTGGCAGCCCATGCACATGCACCAAACAGACATGCCTGCCGGCAGCCTGAGGCCGCACCTCCTCTGGTACCCTCCTGGTGCAGTACATGTCGCTGAAGTACATCTCTCCCCCCGGGGCCAGCACGCGGTACGCCTCCGCCAGTACCGCCTGCTTGTCGGGGGTCAGATTGACCTGCGGCAGCGGGCGGGCAAGGATGCATGCTTGGGGTGGCGATGGGGCGTGTGCATGGGGTGGCAATGCGGGGCCTGGGGTGGGCTGCCACCTGCCAAGATGACTCATCGGTTACATCTGGGCGCAGCGGTCCCGCAGCAGGTGCTGAGCTGGCCACAAGGGCGCACCACGCAGTTGGAGATGATGAGGTCCACGCTGCCTGCCTGGATCCCTGCCTCCCCCAGCCTCTCGATCTGGCCCTTGACGAATCGCATGTTGGGCTGCCAGCAGTGCAGGGCGGCAGGGGCGTGCCAAGGGAGGGCGATGTGGGGGAGCGGGGTGGTGCAGCGGCGGGGAGGGCAGGCGTGGTGCACGCGCGGCGCAGCAGTGGGCAGCGGGGAGGGCGCGGGACATCTTTGGGAGCGGGCTGCTCACCTGCTTGTAGCCCAGCGTGTGGCAGCAGTAGTCCTGGGCGTGCCTGTTGGCCAGCTCGAGCTGGAAACGGCGGCGAGGGAGGAGGCAGGCAGGCAGAACAAGCTCGGCGCCAGCCAGAGGAAGCGGCAGGCAGCTGGGAGGCAGGGCTCGTGGCTGGCGTCAGGCGCCCTGGGCACCGAACCGAGCCGAACAATAAGTGTGGCGGCGGCGGAGGAGGTGGTGGTCTGCGCCGCAGGCAGGAAGGCGTGTGGGCGGGTGGCGGCCATCCCGGCGCCAGCGCCGCACCCACCTGCGCGTCTGTCATGTCCACGCCCGTCACGCTGCCCGCCTCCCCCACCATCGCCGCGCACACGTAGCAGTCGCGGCCGCTGCCGCACCCCAGGTCCAGCACCCTGCGGCAGCCAGGGAGGTGGGGAGGGAGAGCGCGCGCGGTGGGTGGTGGCTCCACGACTCAACCACTCGCCCAAGCGTGCCGTGCCAGAGGGGAGAGCACAGAAGGACCCCGGCTTTTCTCTGCTGCTCACCTCAGCCCCTCGATGCCCAGTGGGAAGGCCGAGCCGCAGCCGAAGTAGCGGGCCTGCACCTCTGGCGGCACCCGCTGCAGCGCGGCGCGCACGAGCGGGTGCGGCGCCCCCGCCGCGGTGCAGGCCGACGTTTTCATATCGGTCGACGCCGCCAGAACCTCCCCGTAGTAGTGCTGCACGTTGGCGTGCACCTGCTGCTCGCTCACGCCGTTCTGAGCGGGCGGCGCCATCTTGTGCCTGACGGCAGGTGTGCAACGAGCGCTATGCCTGCTAACTGAGCGAAGCAGTCGAGGGATAGGCGAAATGTGGGGCGATCGGAGGGGTTCGGTCTGAAACCAGTGTGGCGATCTTACGTCATATTGAATGAGACTTTCGTCCGAGAACCCGACTATAGGCTGTTCTATCGCGTCCGCCTACTGATCGCGTCCGTCTATACTCAGTTCACCTAACAGGCACTCGGTGCTGCGTCCTCGCATGCTTGTCGCTTTTCGGGCTCTCTCGCCTGTCGCCTATTCCCGCCGCGCGCTCCCTCTCAGCCACCAGATCCGCGCCATGGCCTCCGGGGCCTGCTGCTCGGGGGGTGCCGCCCCCGCTCCCTCTGCCGCTGCCGCCGCCACCGCCATGGGCGCCAGCACCGGCGCCAAGCTTGGGCAGGAGGCTGGCGGCACAGACGTCCTCGGCTCCGTGCAGCGCTACTACGGCGAGGTACGCTGGCGCCACGCTGCTTCCGCTGCTGCCGTGGCAAGAAACGCCCAGCTCTGAAGTCGGCGCCGGCGCCGGCGCCTCGACTAGCTGTTTGTTGCGCTCTGCCCCCCCGCGCCCCTGCAGATCCTCAAGACGCAGAAGGATCAGAAGATTCATTCATTCATTCATTCAGCACACAGACCGGCCGCCTCTTGCTCGAGGGCGGCCCACTTTGGCCTGGGCAGCCCGGGCCGCCCTCCCCCCCGGGCGCATGTTCGGTGTTGGAGGGGTGTGCCCAGCGATAGGGGGCCCCTGAAGGCATGCGCCGAGGCCGGGAAGCGTGGTTCGGCGCTGCTGCACGCTTGGCGATTTGACCAGAACCACGTGCCGCCGAGCTGCGGCCGCAGTTTCCGGCCCACGGTCTACGGTCGCAGCCACGGGACTCGGCGGCACGGCGTTTGGGCCCAAGCTTGCTGCCGCCGCCGCCGTGCCCGGGGGGGCAGCGCGGCGGCGGCGGCGGCACGCTGCGACGCCCCCGTGCTGCCGAGCTGCGGCCGTAGTTTCCTGCCAGAAGCCCACGGCCACAGCCACGGGACTCGGCGGCACGGAGTTTCGGTCCACGGCTTGCTGCCGCCGCCGTCGCAGGGGTGCTGCCTGCGGCGGCGGCGGCACGGCGTTTGGGTCCACGGCTTGCTGCCGCTGCCGCCGACCGCAGGGGTGCTGCCTGCGGCGGCGGCGGTAGCGCACGTGGCAACCCTCCCGCGTTTTCTTTGCCTCTCCA